TGAAGCAGGGCTCTATCTCATGACCCTGAGATCATGACCTGAGCCAAAATCAAGAGACAGATGCTCAACTGACTGAGCCGCCCAGGGGCCCCATGATGGCAATTCTTGACCTAGCCTTTCTCTCTCTTCCAATCATCTTTCCTGGCTCTGGTTGGAAGGGAAAGAGGAGGACTCAGATACTCAGGCCTTCATGGAGTTGTTCTCTCTCTCTGTCTCTCTCCCCTGAGACCTGTTATTGAAGATGGGAAGGATTCTTTCCCAACTCAGGGGAGAAGAGAGCACCTCAAGTGCTGGCCCTAGAATGAAGGCCTTAGCCCAGAAGGCCTCTGAAAGACTACAATCTATACAAAAAACAAACAAAAACAAAACCCCTGCAATCTACATAGTCTTGGAATTCCCTTGGAGAGTAAGGGAATTCACTTTTGTTAAACACAGGCCTGGGATCAATGCTTTACCTATGTTACCTCCCTTAATTCTCATAACTCTGTAAAATAAGTACTATTGTCTCTTATTATCCCATTTTACATTTGACAGAATTGAGACTCAGGAACGTCAAGCGATGCACCCAAGAGCACACAGCTAGCGCATGGTAGAGACAGGAATCAAACAAAGGTCTGTCAGCCTTTATTTACTACTATACAATAGAGCCTCTAGAAACTTGTCTTTGAGTGTATCCTGGAAGGTTCCATAGCCAGGGAAATCTGAATCTGACCAGCCAGGGAAATCTGTCTATAGTACAGGGCTGCCAAAGGGCTCTTGGACAGACACCCACTATATGAAGTTTTCTTGGTTTATTTATTTTCCACTTTATTTATTTCCACTTTCTTGGTTTCCTGGCTCAGTGAGACCAGCATAGGAGTGCAGGGATATAAATTGCCACATGCACAGCAGGGGTTCAGGAAAGAAGGAGGGGAGGGAGGAAGGGAGGGAAGGAAGGAAGGAAGCAAGGAAGACATGTCCTTTCCTTCCTTTCCTATCTGAAGAATGTGGATACAGTTTGCACAAGTTCCCATTGTTATCTCTTTTTTCAGTTGTCTCTTTTTAATAAATAATAAGAACTTTCTATATCTTGTGTAAATATGTGGTCATGTTAATATGCCTAATCTGATTGTTTCCTTAAAATGTGTTGTAGTTTTTTTCACTGAAAACATTAAGGTATACATTTAAAACTGTATCTTTGGTAAAAATTTTGTACAAAATTTTAAAATGATTTGGCACTAATTGTTTTGAGTTGTATCAACCTCTCCAAGCAGGCAAACCTTCTGTCTGAGAATTTAAACCATGCTGAAGGAATGCTTCTCACACTTTAATGTGCATATGAATCACTGGAGGATCTTATTAAAATGCAGATTCTGATCCAGCATGTCTGGGATAAAGCCTGAGAGACTACATTTCTAAAACTCCAGCATTATCTCTTTAGATTGTTGTTTTTCTTGTGACAAAGTTCTGCATCATGCTCACATTATCCTTGCAGGCATCCTTTCCTTCTCGGTTCTAATCTGGTCTGATACTCCCAGGTCTTACTTCACCCGACACACTTAACCAACTGGACACATCCAGTTTACCACTGGGTCCCTGCACCTTACTGGAAAAGCCTAGTGACTTTCAGCATGGAGATAGGTGGGAATTCCCGCACCTGTCCCGGCCCAGCTGGGGTTTCCAGCCTTCAGAGGCTCTGTGAGCCCAGTTGTCCTCCTGGTGGGACCTAGCCTAGAAAGCTGGTCAACTTTCCTGCCTGGTCCCTGACCCTTTCACCCTTTGTTCTGACTCCTCAATACACAATCCCCTTGCTTTTGTTGTTGTTGTTGTTTTTAAGCAGAAGTAGTTGCATCGTTTCATCAGGCAGAGGCTGGGAAAAGATGGCCACAAAGAAAGAAAATTCTTTCTCTTGGGTGCCAGGGTGGCTCAGTCAGTTAAATGTCTGCCTTCTGTTCAGGTCATGATCCCAGGGTCCTGGGTTTGAGCCCCACATCGAGCTCCCTCCTCGGCGGGGAGTCTGCTTCTCCATCTTCCCCCCCCCCCACACACACTTGTGATCTCACACTCTCTCTCAAATAAATAAATAAAATCTTAAAAAAAAAAAAAAGAAAATTCTTTCTCTTACTTTTGGGACCTCTTACGATCTTTGAAGGAATAATGACACAAAAGACAATGGCAGAGCTAAGCCACAAAGCAAACACCTTGATATCCCTTAAGTAGTATGGTCTGTGAGGCTGGAGGACTACTTACCATCTCCCTTTTACTGATGAGGAAGAAGAGAGCTCGGAGAGGTGACTTGACTTGTCAAGATGCAATAGCCAGTAAAGTGCCCAAACCTACACTCTTTCCATTTTATGATTCCAGTGGGATATAGCACAGGAAACAGGTAACTTTCAGTGAGCTAACTTTTCAGGCTTTACAGTCTAACCAGGTGCTTTCTTGTGCATTGTTTTCTTCTAAGAGCTGTATGAAGAAAGCAGGTAAGGTCCAGTTTCTTCCATTTGTCAGATGAAAACATGGAGGCACAGAGAGGATGTATGTAGACCAAGATCATTCCACTAGCAAGTTTTAGGAAGCAAAACTGGCCCTTGTGTCCTGATTTTTAATTGAATGCCGAACCATGAGTTTAGTGTGAGGGGGATGGGAATAAAGGGGCACTGAAGAGAACAGGGAAGATTAGAAGTATTTTTTGTGGGAGTAAGGAAAATGGAAGAGCCAATAAATGAGCTGTTCTCTAACCAAAACTGCTGATAACTCAAAAGAGAAAAAAAAATCACAAAGGTAAAAAAATCTCTTAAAGTTGTACAAGGAATTATTAAAACCAGCTAAAAAATGGCTCAGAGCAAATAACAATCTCTATTCAAAGCAGCTATTTTGTCATTTATTCTATTGGAGGCAGGGTTGGTGGGATGATATAAGCCAAATAAAAGTCTTCTCATCAAAACAAAACAAAACAAAACTTTTTTCAAACCTTGGAGGAGGGACACATGATAACTCATGTTGCAAACTTTCTTTGGGTCACACAACTGCTCCCACACAATTAACTAACATACTGCTAAAGCAAAGAAATACAGAATGACCCTCTTTTTGCTCCTTCTGAAACAGATCCAGATATTGAAAAGTTATGATAATTATTGCCATTTACTGAGTGACTATTATCTGCCAGACACTGTGTTTTACATATATTATTTCTAATTCTTATGACAACACTGCAAGGGAGTTATTCTCAATATTTTACTTATGAGGGAAGAGGCTCAGGGGAGTTGAGTAATTTGCCCAAAGTCATACAGCTAGTATGTGGTTGAGCTGGTCTGTCTGACTCGATGACTCATGCTCACTGTATTCTGTTCCTTTATCATTAAATTAACACACACTGGACTTATATATATGCCACTGACTTAGTTCATCTTTTCCTTTAATTGTAAATACTAAATATATTATTTTAAGAAAACAGAGAAATATGGTAGAGAATCTAAATTCTGCTCATACTTCTTGTCAAACCTTTTTCTTTTGTTCTCCTGATTATATTAAAGAGAGAATCTTTAAAAGGGCATCTCCAAGTGGCATCAAAGGTAGGTCCCATCAGTATGAGCTGGGGCAAGAGCCACTGGGCAGCAATTTGGAGCCTAGTAAAGTGATGAAAATCTCTTCATAATAGTGGTCAGAGGTTTGAGGAACACAAATCTTGGGAACTAGTAAATTAACTTCCTTCTAGAGTGGATCAGCTAAGGTGGTACAACATTTTGGACCCTCTATATTATTAATCACCTTTGTATTCCCCCATTCTGCCTCAATCATTGATTAAAATCTCTGGGCCCATGGCCTTTGAATTTGCACTTAGCAAGTGAATTTTTAAGCCCTTCAACCTCATTCTAATCCCACTGTTCTCATTTCAACAGGTAAAATCAGGTAGCATCTTTGACAATTGCCTTCTTACAAATGATGAAGAGTTTGCTGAAGAAGTTGGAAATAAGACCTGAAATAAGAAAAGTAAGGTATTCCCCCACCCTGAATTCCAGATGTCTGACTCCTCAGTTGTGCAGTGTTCTTTACATTTGCAAAAGCAGCCTAATAGTCATTATCTCATTTGCTGGTCACATTTTCCTGAGAGGAGGGGGGAGGAAAGAACTCACATTCATCGGACTTATGTATATGCCATATATATAACAACTTTGTACTTGAGCACTTTCCAAAAGTTATCCCACTTAGCCCTCAAAATCACCTAACAAGACAGATATTACTCCCATTTTTCGGATCTGGGAACTGAGATTCAGAAAGTATATATAAACTGCCCAAGGTATGCCCAGCCTTAAACTTGGTGAATTAGAAGTCACACTCCTCTGTGTCATGCTCCCTGCTCACAGTGTGGTGATCTAGAAGGCGGCTGCTGAGCCAATACCTAAGCATGCCTTGGAGAAAGAAGGAAGGTGTTAGTGGTGTTCACCAGCTTTCCTGCTCTCCTAGAACTGTTTTATGGGTGGAGTAATAATTGGGACAATGGCTTCATGACTACCTGGTTCTGTAGGAAGGTCCATTCAAGCAGGTTTGTGGCCAGTGGCAGGTCTGATTACCCAGTAGGCAGATTAAGCTCATGCTTAGAATACCAGCAAAGCACAAGCACCCAAAAAAACCTTTTTGAGAGACTTTTGTACTTATTATTTCCAAAGAAGCATTGAAGTAGTCATCATGGAAAAATAAAAATCTATGAAGCCTTTTTACACTTTTTAGTCTGGTTTTGTTTTGTTTTTACTTTGGGGTTATCATCTAATATTGTTTTGTTGAGGCAATATTACATATTGGTTAAGAGCATGAATTTTATTTTATTTTAATTTTTTTAGAGAAAAAAATTCTTTATTGAAAAATAAAAGGAAACTAACTCTAACCCAGCCAAATTTACAGATCAAGGGAATTCAGTGCTTATTTATATACTATATCAGAAAAGCTGCTATCTGACATGAAACATTACCGAAGATTAAAAATGATATTGCTAAATATATATCTTTTAAAGAATGATTGCTACACAGTTATATGATCTATAGTGAATTCCAGTTTCAGTAAGAGCAAGAGCATGAATTTTAGAGTTAGATTGCTGAGGTTCAAATCCAGGCTCCATCACTTACTAGCTGTATGACTTTGTGCAAGTTATTTAACCTTTCTGATCTTCAGTTTACTCATCTATAATTTGAGAATGATGATAGCAACTCTCTTATAAGTTCCTGGCATACAGTAAGTGCTCAATGTATGGTACCCATTGTTATTAAACCATACATTCACTCAATAAATATTTATTGAATGCACTGTTATAGGTCCTGAAGATCTATCAGTGAAATAAAATAGAAGTTTCTGTCCTCATGGGGATTACACTCAGTTAGGAAAGACTAACAAGAAACATATAAATAAGTCAATACCATATGTGTGAGATAAGCTATGGAGAACAATAAAGCAATAGAGAAGGCTATGATCATGAGGTTTTTGCTCTTTTATTATAGGGGTGGTCAGGAGAGGCTTCATTGAGTAAACAACATCTAAGAGACTTGGAGGAAGGAGCAAGCCAAGCAGGTATCTGGGGAAGAAAACCCAGGGAGAAAGAATAGCAAATGCGAAGTCACCCAAGTAGAAGCATAACTTGCTTACTCAGGAGTAAGAAGCCCAGCGTGATTAGACCTGAGTGAGAGAGAATGAGAGTAGTTAGGTCCATATCCCTGAGTAAAGTGGGCAACCACTGGAAACATGTTTAGCAAAGGACTGATATGAACTGGCTCATAGTTTAAAATATTACTCTGGCTGCTATGTTGTAAAAGATGATAGGAATAAAAAAAGACTAGTAGAACAAAGGCAGAAGCAGGTGATAGTGGTGGAGGTAAAAAGAAAAGCTCAGATCCATTTTGAAGGCAAAACTCACAGGAGTGATGGATTAGATAGGGAATATGAGTAAGAGTAAACAAGGGTGGCTCCAAGGTTTTTTACTCAAGTGACTAGAGGATGAAGTTACTGAGATAGAGAACAAAGAAGGAGCATATTTGGGGGTGGGGATGGGGACAGAAATAAAAGACCATAATTGTTAAATGTTAAGTCACATATGATTATTAGAAATCCAAATGTCAAAGAGGCAATTGAGTATGAGTCTGGTTAAGAGATATAAATTCAGGAATCATAATCAGCCTACAGGTAATACTGAAAACCCCCATGAAGCTGGGTAAAATCCCCTAAGGAATGAGTAAAGGAGATTCAAGGATAAGTTTTGGGGTACCTCAATATTTAGAGATCAAGAAGATAAAGTGGAACAAGCAAACAAGACAGAAAGAGTAGCAAGCAAGGTAGGAAAAGAACCAAGAAAGAGTAGTATCCTATAGATCAAGTCTAATATTTTAAGGGGAGAAGGAATGATCACTGGTGTCAAAAGGTCAAGAAAGATGAAGACTGAGAATAGACCAGTGTTTTTAGGACATGGAGTTCATGTGACTCTGACAAGAACAGTTTCAATGGAGAGATATAGGGAAAAAAATGGGTTCAAGAAAGAAAGGAAGAACAACTAGAAACTCCAAGTATAGACTAGTCTTTTGAGAATTTTACTGTAAAAAAGGTAGAGAAAACGGGGTGGTAGGTAGTAGAAAATGTTGGTCAAGATTTTTTTTTAATATATATATAGAGAGAGAGAGAGATCCTCCTGCCTACATGTATGCTAGTGGGTATGATCCAATAAAGAGAGAAATCAATATAGGAGATACAGAGGAGAATTTCTGGAGCAACATCCTTGAGAATATGAGAGTGGATGAGATCTAGTGCCCAGGAAGATGAGTTGGCTTTCCATAGGAGTATGGATAATTCATCCATAATTGCAGACGTAAAGAATGAAAACATGAGAGTAAAAACAGGTGGGTGGGTAGATATGGTAGTGAGGGGTTTTCATCAGTTGAATTCTCTGGGAAGCAGACACCAAGATGGAGCTAGAAATGTAGGATATTTATTGGGAATAATGTTGGGGAGAGATGAAGGGCAGAGGGTACAGAAATAGGTAGAAAAGTCTGACACCTGCAAAAGAAGGATTGGGTAAGAATTGCTGTGAGGGCAGCACAGCTCTGAGAAAGTCTCACCTACCCAACAGGGCTCCAGTGGAAAGACTGCCTATAGAGGAGTTCTCTGTCAGGGATGGCCAGACCCTAGCACCCCCTCCATGCTCAGCCACTGTCTGGGGGCTGCTTTGGAATAGCATGTCCTAGGTTCAAATGCTGCAGTAGATCCCCAGGCTCTACAGCTACGAGCCAACAGCTCACTGCACTCCTCACCACTGACTGATAGGTTCTTCTTCAAGGAAAATCCATGTGGCATAACTGCATGGCTGCCACAGAGTATGTGGAAAATTTCTTCTGATTGTGAAATAGGAAGTGAGATTTAACAACTTAACCTGAGATTGAGAAAGATGTGTTGGAGGTTTGAGGAGAAGAAGATGTGAAATAGTTAACCAAGGAGAAGTAGAGTGAATCAACCACAGAAATACAGTGGGCTTACTGCCTCACCTGAATTTAGTCATAATGAGTTTAAAATGAGAACAAAAGGTTTGGTTTTATTGTTTTCTCTAGCTATTTTTTCCTAGGTGCAAGCATGGAGAGTTGGATTTAACCAGAGTTGAGGGTTTGCTTAATTAAGGGAGGGCGAGGGAATTGAGGATGTT